TGTGTTGTACCTGTACATTAGTTGTGGGCAGGTTGTGTTGTACCTGTACATTAGTTGTGGGCAGGTTTTGTTGTACATGTACAGTAGTTGTGGGCAGGTTGTGTTGTACCTGTACAGTAGTTGTGGGCAGGTTGTGTTGTACATGTACAGTAGTTGTGGGCAGGTTGTGTTGTACATGTACATTAGTTGTGGGCAGGTTGTGTTGTACATGTACAGTAGTTGTGGGCAGGTTGTGTTGTACATGTACAGTAGTTGTGGGCAGGTTGTGTTGTACATGTACAGTAGTTGTGGGCAGGTTGTGTTGTACATGTACAGTAGTTGTGAGCAGGTTGTGTTGTACCTGTACAGTAGTTGTGGGCAGGTTGTATTGTATATGTACATGAGTTGTGGGTAGGTTGTGTTGTACGTGTACATGAGTTGTGGGCAGATGGTATTGTACATGTACAGTAGTTGTGGGCAGGTTGTGTTGTACATGTACATTAGTGGGGGCAGGTTGTGTTGTACATGTACAGTAGTTGTGGGCAGGTTGTGTTGTATATGTACATGAGTTGTGGGTAGGTTGTGTTGTACGTGTACATGAGTTGTGGGCAGATGGTGTTGTACATGTACAGTAGTTGTGGGCAGGTTGTGTTGTACATGTACATTAGTGGGGGCAGGTTGTGTTGTACCTGTACAGTAGTTGTGGGCAGGTTGTGTTGTATATGTACATGAGTTGTGGGTAGGTTGTGTTGTACGTGTACATGAGTTGTGGGCAGGTTGTTTTGTACATGTACAGTAGTTGTGGGCAGGTTGTGCTGTACCTGTACAGTAGTTGTGGGCAGGTTGTGTTGTATATGTACATGAGTTGTGGGTAGGTTGTGTTGTACGTGTACATGAGTTGTGGGCAGGTTGTGTTGTACATGTACATGAGTTATTGGTAGATTGTGGTGTACCTTTCAGAGTGAGAACACATTAAGTAATATCAGGTTATTGATCTGCAAAAACATAAAGTAGAACATATAACAGCAAAGTCATTTGTTTTGTTTTTTTTATTCATTAGCCCCACCAATAGTTGAGACATAACAACCTCTATAATCAAAGAGGTTATACATATATATAGGTGTGATGTATAAGCATCATCAGCTGAACCCACTCTCTTCCCCTCCCCAACCTCTACTTCCTGTGTACAATTAAACTTATCACATTATCACCTGCCAGGAAGTGACCTCATTGACCTCTGGCTCCAAACCGACTTATTCCAGTGCCTAACACTAATGCTGCCAAGTAGAACCTTACTAACAGTAATAGTAACATGAAACACAGATTACCACAGCTTGTTCCTAATTACCATAGTAACATGAAACACAGATTACCACAGCTTGTTCCTAATTACCATAGTAACATGAAACACAGATTACCACAGCTTGTATGTTAAGATATTGCAACAACACATAATCAATGTATCTTCCAAATCCTGCTTTTAGCAGTGATGGTATAAAACTGAGGTAGGACATGCGTGGGATGAATCTCCTTTTATCTGCTACATTGTCCCCTATAATAGAAGCTACAAATTGGGTTAAATCTGTAAAACCATTAAGGATAACCCACTTAAATGACTCTGCAGTAGCAACAAGAACTAACCTCCCATAATATCCTTTATCAAAGAGAAAAATAGTGGAAAAGCAATAAAAGACTTGAGCACAATGCCCTGCAGCATTTCCTCTCCAGCTATAACAACAGGATTAGCCATGCTGTCTCTCCGCCATCACTCATCACCTATAAATCAGCCTGTATTGATAACACTGCCATCTTCAATTGCTGCATCATACCCTTCCTGGACAGACTGCCATATAAATTTGCCAAATCTTATCCCCAGACAATCCAGTAATTGAGCTTTGCAGTCAACCCTACACAAACTCTTGTTTATTTTGAATTTTCTCTTTATCAATGGTAATTAAGATATAAGTGAATGGTAAATGTTATATCTGACAAGGCTAGACAATTCTATAACAAGATAATACAGTGACATATCCTTATTGTGAAAGCTTGATTATCTCCCTTTGTGTCCTGTTATTACTCAGTGATGTTGTACAGGCCTGCAGGTTTACGTCTATATATACATCACTGTGATCAAATTAGATCAGTTTACATCAAAGTCCAATTACCAATATCACAAACTGTAGTAAACTAACTGCTATAAAACAAAGATTTAGCTGTTACACTCGGAATTATCTCCTCTGTCCATTCTAGTATTGATCGCAGAGAGAAGAGATAAAGTAATTTCGACTGTATTACAAAGCATATATAAAAGAATGTACTTTGATAAATGCTTTGTAAAAACATAAAACTGTAGAACTTCTACTGATAAAGTCTGTGATCTTTGTAGGTCCTTCATCTATCTCTATCACAAGTAAAAGTGTCGTAAGGATCAGTATGTTCCCATTATAGAAAAATTGGAGCCCTCCCCCAGAAGTTACACTTTCCTTTAAGATATTACTCTTCTGAGTGAGTGAGGCCATGATATGAGGGCAAAGTTAAACAAATTTGTCAACAGACAGCAGTAACAGTATCATCACAGAGTTACACAAAATCTCAGTTATTACGTAAATGTGTCACAAAGGATTACACATGCACATAATCACAGATAGACACCAGAAAACCATGTCATCACAGACAGATTCCAGGTAACCGTGTCAGTACAGACAGACACCAGGTAAAAATGTCACCACAGACAGACACCAGGTAACCATGTCATTACAGACAGACACCAGGTAACTGTGTCACCACAGACAGACACCAAGTAATCGTGTCATTACGGACAGACACCAGGTATCTGTGTCATCACAGACAGACACCCAGTAACTGTGTCATCACAGACAGACATTAGGTAACTGTGTCATCACAGACAGACATCAGGTAACTGTGTCATCACAGACAGACATCAGGTAACTGTGTCATCACAGACAGACACCAGGTAACTGTCATCACAGACAGACACCAGGTAACTGTGTCATCACAGACAGACATCAGGTAACTGTGTCATCACAGACACTAGGTAACTGTCATCACAGACACCAGGTAACTGTGTCATCACAGACAGACACCAGGTAACCGTGTCATCACAGACAGACACCAGGTAACTGTGTCATCACAGACAGACATCTGGTAACTGTGTCATCACAGACTGACATCAGGTAACTGTGTCATCACAAACAGACATCAGGTAACTGTGTCATCACAGACACTAGGTAACTGTGTCATTACAGACAGACACTAGGTAACTGTGTCATCATAGACAGACACCAGGTAACTGTATCATCACAGACAGACACCAGGTAACTGTGTCATCACAGACAGACATCGGGTAACTGTGTCATTACAGACAGACACTAGGTAACTGTGTCATCACAGACAGACACCAGGTAACTGTCATCACAGACAGACACCAGGTAACTGTATCATCACAGACAGACACCAGGTAACTGTGTCATCACAGACAGACATCTGGTAACTGTGTCATCACAGACAGACACCAGGTAACTGTGTCATCACAGACAGACATCAGGTAACTGTGTCATCACAGACAGACACCAGGTAACTGTGTCATCACAGACAGACACCAGGTAACTGTGTCATCACAGACAGATATCAGGTAACTGTGTCATCACAGACAGACATCAGGTAAACATGTCACATAGTATTATCACTGAGACTCATTAAGATTCCATATCTGTATTTGATCTCTTGATTGTAGACACATAACCAAGACACATACTAAAGCATTACAACCTTTTTATCCAGAATTAGGCTGTGCTTAACAATATGCCAGTCTATAGGATTTATGTAGAAATCCCTAGAAATGTATTCTATAGTCATGACACCATCTCTCAGTCTACAGGATTTATGTGGAAATCCCTAGAAATGTATTCTATAGTCATGACACCATCTCTCAGTCTACAGGATTTATGTGGAAATCCCTAGAAATGTATTCTATAGTCATGACACCATCTCTCAGTCTACAGAATTTATGTGGAAATCCCTAGAAATGTATTCTATAGTCATGACACCATCTCTCAGTCTACAGAATTTATGTGGAAATCCCTAGAAATGTATTCTATAGTCATGACACAATCTCTCAGTCTACAGGATTTATGTGGAAATCCCTAGAAATGTATTCTATAGTCATGACACCATCTCTTAGTCTAGTGGATTTATGTGGAAATCCTTAGAAATGTATTCTATAGTCATGATACCATCTCTCAGTCTACAGAATGTATGTGGAAATCCTTAGAAATGTATTCTATAGTCATGACACCATCTCTCAGTCTACAGAATTTATGTGGAAATCCTTAGAAATGTATTCTATAGTCATGATACCATCTCTCAGTCTACAGAATGTATGTGGAAATCCCTAGAAATGTATTCTATAGTCATGATACCATCCCTACCATTTGAGGTAAAAAAAAAGACTGAATTTTAGTCTCTCAGCAAGCTGTAAGATTTCCAGCTTTTCCTGATGATGTTCACAATGTAATTATGGGTTCTAGTTGACTAGTCCCAAAACAGCCTTTCAAGTCCCCACCAAATTAACAAAAGGATTGCATTGAAACTCCATTTCTTTCCAGTCCAGACAGAAGCTAAGTAATACAACATGAGTTTATGATGATTTGCTCCCTAACTTAATACCTGAAGTATTTCAGTTACTAAATCATAAAATAAGTTGGTTTTTCAGTGACATCCAGACTTAAAATTATTTTTAAGTACCTGTATCCTTGCTGTCTCTGAAGTCTGAACATTAAAATAATGTCCATTCAGTTTACAAAACAATTTCAACAAAAGCAATTGCTATCAGTTAGAGTTCCTCATTTCAGTGACAATGTCAAGGTCATTAACTCTATCAATTACCTCTCTGAAAATGAACTCAAGTCTTTAAAATTCTAAGAAATTTCAAGCTAACAACAGCCTAAATAAATCCTTTACTTTCCACACCATTATCCTGGTGTGTTATCACTGCTACATACCTTGGCCATGTTTGTCCCGACATTGCTGCAACTTTTTCTCTACTTTTTGCTGTCGGCGACGTCGCATCACAGCATCAGGATTAGATATACTTCTGGTAAACTTGGATTCTGGCATATCAGAGTACAGTTTCTCTGCTGCTCCTTTGTTCTCCTTCCCTCTGTTTTGTTTTTCTTGTTTCTTCTTTTCTTTCTTCTCTCGTTTCGAAAGATTACGTTTGAATTGCTGTTTTTCTTCTGGAACGATGACTTCGGCACCCTGGAACACACATTCAGATTTGGATTACAAGAACTCTCCATTGTCAAATTTAAACTTTGAATTACAAGAACTCTCCATTCATTGTCAAATGTAACTGTTGATTACAAGAACTCACTCCTGTCAATTGAATTAAAATATGTAAAACAAGAACTCACCAATGTTAATTAACTTAAAACTCTGGATTTTATGAACCCTTTTATTGTCAATTCCATCCAAATTTAGATTACAAGAACTATCCATTATCAAAATAAGATTTTGTGCAAGACTTGCAATTGATAAGAATGTACATTTTTACAAAAACACACATATTAACAGCAATCGTTTTCAGGATGAAATCGAATACCTTTAATTAACCTGACGAAACCCAGGAGGTTAAAACAGAAATTTGTCCTTTATATCCACTAATATTTCTATAACAAATTTATTATCAAAGAATTTATTTCTAAAATGTGCAATAGACATGACATTGATTTTAACTGAAAACAGTTTTACTTATCATAGTACAGAGAAAAGAGTATAATGTTGATGATCAAAAACTGTGGTACAGCGTACTTCACTTAAAACACATTCTGTTCAAATATCCTCAAAAAAAACCTCACTGAAACATTCTAGAGAATATATCTCTCTTTTTTTAACAGTTAATGACAAGATTGTCGACAACTTTTACATTCAGATTTACACATCTTAACCAATGAAAACCTGTTGCCAACAACACCAATCCGTTGCTGGAGTATTTATTTGAAAAACGACCAAAGTTTGTTGTTACATACAAAAATCAATAAAAGTACACAGTTCAATACATTTTAGGGAAACTCGACGGAGCGGAATCAAACCGTACAGAGTGAATTCCAGCGTATACATACATCAGTATGTCCAGTAACAACACCCAACAATAATGTGCTTTGCTCATTATCTCTGGAGCCAATATAGGTTTACACCAACATGTTAACACTAGAAGTCTAGACCATCCATCAATACAATCCTCCTATATATCTATATATAAAAACTAGTCTATATGCTAATAACAGTATACTGTTAAATTTCAATATTCAACAACTTATTTGTATAACATTTTAGTGAACATTTCTGTAGGAGTTGATGTAGAATTCCCTGTAGAAGATTGATTTCTTGTCCCCAGTCAGCATGACTCTAACAAACTTTATATCTGATATTGTTACAATCCAGTTTTCCTACATACTTACATTACCAATATACTGGTATACACGATCGTATGAAAAAATCCAGACATTTAGGTTCTAGCTTGTGCTACAATCAATGGAATCAGAGAAATTTATCAACTATACACTAACGTTAAGTGAATTTTCTGCTATATTGTAGCGTAATGAGATTGGCCTGTTGCATTACCAGCAGACTTATATCTACTCATAAGCTCGCTCAACCTTACCTCATTTTGTATGAGGAAGTGTCCTTCAAAATTCATGCACATCCTTTTCAACACCTATACCTCATTTTACGTGAGGAGGTGACTTCACATCCATATCCCCTGTACCCTTTAAATTGAAGCTCACATAAGGAAGCAGTATCTTACAAGAATCCTTCTCCCAAATACACCTACCTCACGTCGCATGAGGAAGCGCCCTTCACGCACATCCTTTCCCCATGTAAGTTGTACATACAGGATTTTTTCATCAAACATAATCCGCCGGTCCTCTGTAACAAAACAATACATTTTTTTTAAAACAAATAAATAGTTTATGATATGGAGAGGTGATATGAAGATTTCTCCTGTACAATAATTCTATACAGTTTCCAGGTTACATATAATGACAAAGTCAAAAAACCTCACATCAAAGTAGTCCCTCTAAATCTAGGTCAGTATATATGGAACTGGGTCAAATAATAATTAGAGCAGAATGTATTCCCTTAATCAATCTTATTTACTGAATTACCAGGTTATTAATGTTACTTAAACAAAGGTCAGAAGAAAAAGTCCTGTTTCATGGCAACATTATTAAAAAAAACAATCAAAAAAGGTGATATTAACAATTGTAACATTTTCGTTATACACACTATGTGACAGTTTATCATTTTATACTTTGTTACAATGTATCATTTTATACTTTGTTACAGTGTATCATTTTATACTTTGTGACAGTGTATCATTTTATACTTTGTGACAGTGTATCATTTTATACTTTGTGACAGAGTATCATTTATACTTTGTGACAGTGTATCATTTTATACTTTGTGACAGTGTATCATTTTATACTTTGTGACAGTGTATCATTTTATACTTTGTTACAGTGTATCATTTTATACTTTGTGACAGTGTATCATTTTATACTTTGTGACAGAGTATCATTTATACTTTGTGACAGTGTATCATTTTATACTTTGTGACAGTGTATCATTTTATACTTTGTGACAGAGTATCATTTATACTTTGTGACAGTGTATCATTTTATACTTTGTGACAGTGTATCATTTTATACTTTGTGACAGTGTATCATTTTATACTTTGTTACAGTGTATCATTTTATACTTTGTGACAGTGTATCATTTTATACTTTGTGACAGAGTATCATTTATACTTTGTGACAGTGTATCATTTTATACTTTGTGACAGTGTATCATTTTATACTTTGTGACAGTGTATCATTTTATACTTTGTGAAAGTGTGTAATTTTATACTTTGTGACAGTGTATCATTTTATACTTTGTTACAGTGTATCATTTTATACTTTGTGACAGTGTATCATTTTATACTTTGTGACAGTGTATCATTTTATACTTTGTGACAGTGTGTAATTTTATACTTTGTGACAGTGTATCATTTTATACTTTGTGACAGTGTATCATTTTATACTTTGTGACAGTGTATCATTTTATACTTTGTGACAGTGTATCATTTTATACTTTGTGACAGTGTATCATTTTATACTTTGTGACAGTGTGTAATTTTATACTTTGTGACAGTGTATCATTTTATACTTTGTGACAGTGTATCATTTTATACTTTGTTACAGTGTATCATTTTATACTTTGTGAAAAAGTATCATTTTATACTTTGTGAAAGTGTGTAATTTTATACTTTGTGACAGTGTATCATTCTTATTGTTCCTTAATTCTAAATATACATGTATGTTAGATTTTAATTACAAGCACCGTCTAAGTAAGTAAACCTCCCAGTACAGTCAGGTACCGTCTAAGTAAGTAAACCTCCCAGTACAGTCAGGTACCGTCTAAGTAAGTAAACCTCCCAGTACAGTCAGGTACCGTCTAAGTAAATAAACCTCCCAGTACAGTTAAACTTCTCTGATCTGAATTTCTCAATGTATTGGATTTTTTGCCAAGTCCTGAATTTTATGAATCAAAGTTTTATAAATCAAACTTTTTGATGTATTAAAGTTTTTTCATGGACGGCAATAACTATGGTAACAAAGTCATTGACACCTCATGATTTGAGCAAAAAAAATACCGGTGTTGTACAGGTATTTTGGCCCCAGGGGAGAATTTCATACTTTTTACACAAAGGTGTAACCTAACAAATGGATGATGATAGTGTACTGTTGTTAACTTTGTGTTATGAGGTTGATCAATGATTGGACACAGATTTAATTTTAACTGTTTACTTATGAATCATGACATTTAATCAACAGCAATAATTAGTGATCAATTCATGATCACCAACACCACTAAAGTAATAGCATACAGCGGGATCTAATTTAGGGAATTGTAAACATCAGTAAACACACTTGTTACATCATAACCTAGGATTACACTATGATACTAATTTGTTTTCTTTCAAATTATTAGTGTATATAGCATGTATGTGTCACTCTTTATGCAATGACTGTAACATGCAACAATCACTTTACTGCTGCAGTTTGTTTCATTTAAAATCGACCTGTAAAAAAATTGAGTTCATGGAGGTGCATGTTCCTGAGAAAATGTAAACAGAGGTACACATGGTCCATTTTTTGTTAATTTCTGTTCAGTGTCATGTTTTTGTTTCACGACTGAAAACATTTTCATTTGCAAATGAAATAAAAAGCTCTCTCTATATTTAAACTTTATTTTTGTATCTGGTGTGTCTGATGAGGTAAAATGGTGTCATCGACATTGATGATAAACATTAATGTACCCTTCTACAAATGATTTGAAGTCTCAATATATCAAAGTTTTCTTGTCAGGCCCCTAAACTTCAAAACATTGAAGTTTGACTGTATTTCTACTTAAACAGCATAAATGTACACTTAATAAATATTTTAACCAGATCCTTTCCTCTCAGTGAATAAGCCAACAACAACATCCTGTCTGTCATGAAACACCGAAAATAGTAATGAAAAATGTTGTTGACTTACAGCTGTGAAATAAATGTTCATTCAGTAATGATACATATATGGTATTTTAATGAGTGGAATGTAAGGTATTCAGCCTGTAGGCTGACCTTACCACTCAGGCTAAGTATATATACACCTATATACCTGCTGTCGGTCATAAGGTACCTGCCTTGTACCTGGATATTTACAACAGTTCACCTGTCAATCAACTAGGTACAGCTGCTGATACCAAAGTAATGTTAATCAAGAAGATACACCAAACAACACCTTAGCACCTCTAGTTTAACAGGTCCAGTTTCTAAATATAGAAACATTTCCGGTGTGATATGGCAGGTAACTTTGAGATGTGAAAATAATGAGAATTTTTTTTAATCATAACTTTAAGAAACAAATTGGCCTTTTTGTGTTCAATAAATTTCCATTTTTCACCTTTTTCATCTCTTATACCTGGTATTGTTGGCCATCAAACCAATAGACTTTTACCATCTAATTATAAAAATGACATGTTTATGGAATGTGGAAAGTAAACAGAGATTATAAGCATCAGTCAATTAGCTAGACCTGATAATGGTGGCAGAGGTTATCACCTTCCTCCCCAGTAAAACTCAGGGCTAATCTGGTGACAGAAAACAGCCTTAAGACACAAAAGTCTGCCCATCTCGCATATTAACTAGGCCAACATTCCGAACATACCTTTACATTATAGGACATCTACCTAGGGTGTAAAAGCCAGTATGATACTATGTTGGGTTGAGTGGATTTATACCTATCTAGTAAGTGGTAACAAGTAGCGATTATGGAGTGGGCAGTTCTCACTTAGGCTGTAGAGTGAGCAAACTTTACCCAATAAACAACAGAACTCTAGACTTGAAAGCTTCTACTAAACATTCAGCAGAGAGGGCAGTTCTTACTTTACAGAATGTTCGAGGGCGGTTAAAACGTCACCACAGACTAAGGCGGAGGGAGTTCAATTCTTACTTTACAGACTGTTCAAGGGCGGTTATTACTTCACCACAGACTAAGGCAGTGGGAAGTTCAATTCTTACTCAACAGACAGAACTTCCTGAATGGACAGTAGTTTATTTTTATTCTAAACTATACAACCCCCGCCCCCTCCATCCAACTCCGCCCCCCTAACCCCCCTCCTCCTCACCTTTCCAGCATACTGTATTATCTATGTACAGTAGAAAAAAAGAAACTTAGAAGGAAAATCTGACCAATTTTTAAGATTTTGTTTGAAAGGCTGTCATATTGCAAAATAACATTTCATCAACACTTCCCACCAAACCTACCTACAAACATACAACTATGTTAGGTCTTCCACGCTAAGTGACCAGATGCTGGTCCTTGGTAAACGTTTAGTGGCATCAAGCCAAAGTCCAGCAGACCTACACACCTCTATAATGGCTACTCTAGATATTCCATCAGCATCAACAATGTCTACTCTCCCCTCATCAGCCCCCTACAACGGCTGCTCTCTCTTCATCAGTCCCCCACAATGTCTACTCTCTCCTTACCTTCCCCCTACAATGTCTACTCTCCCCTTACTTGCCCCCTACAATGTCAACTCTCTCCTAAAAGTCCCCTACAATGGCTACTCTCCCCTCATCAGCCCCCTACAATGGCTACTCTCTCTTCATCAGCCCCAAACGATGGCTACTCTTTCCTGCTGTACATTGTCCAGTATCAGTTCTCAGGGACTAAAAAGCTACAGATGTACACCAATCATGTAAACAATTTATCAAACTATTCCATAAATATCTGGTTTATCCTAAGTTTGACGATATAGTTCTGTCTATTATCTGTGGTATATGTCCAGGACATTTACAAAATATATTGTATCCTGGAAAGATCTGTCCCAGGGGTTTTTAAACCATCACATTAAAGGATTTAATTTTACCTATTTTTATTTGTCCTAAAAAACATCAAAAAAGGATATATTAAAACCTGAACTTTAAAATCATCCTTTATTTTTGCCACAGAAGGTGAAAGTTAAATTGTATTGGGTCTTAATGTGAATGTTCCTGAATTTGTTACATAATTTTGCTTTTATGACAATAAGTAAGCCTGAAAATGCCCTGAGGAAGACACCTGTGGATGTTTATATCAAATTTGTTGTTTGTAAGTTATGTGAACAGGGATAAATTGCTGATCAAGAGTAATTATTAGTTTACACACTTATATAGACTGCATCTTAATAATTAGTACAAATCTGAGATTTTTTTTAACATCAGGTCACCAGTATATATACAAGACAGGTGTATATACACCATCAATTGAATTGTTCCTGCTGGAATGACAAAAGGATCTTCTTTTGTTACAGAAATATCCAACATTCTTGTGGGGAGTTAATTACTACACTGCCTATGTGTGTAGTTGTAACTGACAGAGGGTAATCCATTCTTTGTTGTAAATCTTAAACGTTGTGATCACTGCCCTCCTATAATACACTGGCTCTCTATAATAGTGCTCCATGGCTAATTGGCTATAGACAAATATATCCATATATGTTTTATTCATAACTTATCTGTATATAGAATTTCCAGACTGTGAAATATAATTATAAAATACCAGCATGATTTGTGTAATGTTTTTATACCTCCATTTGCGTGAACCTCAAAGAGAGCATATTTGTTCGTGGTCAACATGCGCATGTCTGGACGAAATTTCTCCACCAGGACCTCAATGACTTCCCCGGCAGTGGCAGAGGAGGCCACACGGATACACTTAGTAACAACGTTGGCACCATCTTGGAAGTAAAAGCGGACAACACCATGGAATTCACACTCCTGTAATTACAAAATACACATTTATGTAAATATAATGGTGAAACACATATTCATGCTCTCACTCTGACAGAAGTCAAACCAAGCTGACCTTTGTCTTAGAATTTAATCTTAAGTGAATTTATACATTAGAAATTTGAAATAATCAAAATTTACATACATGTCAATTCCCCCCAAAAAGATGTGCAAACAAAATCAGTATCTCAATAAAACAATTCAGATTGTTAAGAATGTGAATGCAATATGGCTCCATTCCTGTCATGGTGGGCTTACAATTGTAAATATGTTCAGTTCAGAATTCAATTGGTAGTAATCTATTGTAGTAAGAAAGAGAAATGGAAGCTTGCCTGTATTACAAGGATAATTATTGGTTTTCTGTAAATCTTTAAAATGTTCATAGACAACGCCATATCTGAACGGCTGAAGATCATTTATTATTTCAAGAACACTAATTATAAAATACCCCTAATGTTATTGATCAAGCTGCTGATCAATAGGAGGACCTGTAACTTTACTTAGAATCTGACTTGAATTGTAAAAGACCTACATTTGGTTACTGGTGCTTTAGACAACAAGTGTGGGAGCAAACTGTCTAAACATGTCAATAATTCATAACATCAGGACACAGGGTATCAATTATTGATAGTATAACCAGGAGAATACGGTCTATAATCACAATTACTGTAGTGTTCTCCATTAGGACCACTAATATGCTCCCTACACACCAAACCTTCCCATGTCTCTCGACACTGGACCTACACACCAAACCTTCTCATGTCTCCCTACACTGGACCTACACACCAAACCTTCTCATGTCTCTCTACACTGGACCTACACACCAAACCTTCCCATATCTCCCTACACTAGACATGTAGGAGATTTTCTGGACAAGCTTACAATTGAAGCAGCTAAATAGTCACTAACACACAAGACTTTGGGAGTTATGTCCAATAACTTGATCAATATGAAAATCCTCTTACATCTCTTGTATGGAAAGCATTAGGAACACTGGCCACATCCTGTAAACTATCTGTAAGTCAACAGACAATGGCGCCCAGTCAGATCTCAGGAAATCACGATTTCTTATCTGTCCTACAACTCAGCTGATCTGTGTCTAGTATGTCTGTTGTTCAGTACTGGTCTGAAGGTATCCCTAACTGAAGCTATTGACTGTCTTCAAGGTCAACACAATCTCAGTGTCATGTCCGGTGTGTTGAATGTAGACTGCAATCTCAGTGTCATGTCCGGTGTGTTGAATGTAGAATGTCCTCAAGGTCAACACAATCTCAGTGTTAAGTCTGGTGTTTTGAAATGTCAACTGTCCTCAAGGTCAATGTGTTCTCAGTGTCAAGTCAGGTTTGGTAAAATGAAGTCTGTCCCCAAGGTCAACATGATCTCTGTGTAAAGTCAAGTGTGTTGAAATGTAGTCTGTCCTCAAGGTCAACACTTACTATGTCTATATTAACCTTACACAGTATAAAGTATCTAAAAGCGTGATTATATGCTGTACATGTACCCAGCAGACACTTAGATCAATAGATAGATGTTTTATACAATGACAAAATATATCATGATCATACTGCCTTCATTTGTTTGTTGACTGAATAATGATGTCAGATCTTCCAAAAGGATATTACTGACAAAACATACTCATGACTCGCAGGACCCTTCATACAATTGTTTACATTTACACAAAGTTTGTTCATTGGTCATGTCCTGCCCTGTCCCAGATCTACCAGCTCTCGTTATCTCTACCTATGCTCACCAGGTGTATCAGATGTTTGTTTTCAGTACATTACCTACATGAAGTGACCAATCACATGATCCCTAAGAAAAGTCAATTTACTCTTGAAACTGATGAGTCGGATGTGTTTTACCTGACCTACAGGTAGTGTGTGTACTAGAATGTTTACAGACAGACAAGTGTTTATTGGTAGATAAATGTGTATATTACACACCTGACTTCCTCTAAGTGCTGACAGGTAAGACAGTGGGCGGCCTACTTGTCCAGCCCCTCTCTGTCCAGAGTTATACCACTCTTCTTGTGGTTTGTTATAGACTGAACAAACCACTAAATATATACTCTGTCAGTCAATTTACAGTAATATAAATTAATACAGTTCAGATACCAGGTATTCAATTATAAACTGTACAAATTTTAAATTCCTCAAGGGAATCAAATTCTTAGCATCCAATAATCCCATTAAAAGCTTAGTCTATATATCTGAACACTGGATCAGATCTAACAATAGCTGGTCTAATGTATATGATGTAGACAACCAGAAAATAATCCAATACCTGGCCTATGTATACGATGTAGACAACCAGAAAATAATCCAATACCTGGTCTTATGTATACGATGTAGACAACCAGAAAATAATCCAATACCTGGCCTTATGTATACGATGTAGACAACCAGAAAATAATCCAATACCTGGCCTTATGTATACGATGTAGACAACCAGAAAATAATCCAATACCTGGTCTTATGTATACGATGTAGACAACCAGAAAATAATCCAATACCTGGTCTTATGTATACGATGTAGACAACCAGAAAATAATCCAATACCTGGCCTTATGTATACGATGTAGACAACCAGAAAATAATCCAATACCTGGTCTTATGTATACGATGTAGACAGCCATAAAAAATCCAGGAATTCACAGTTACAATCAAGTCTAAAAATCATGAGTCAAAAAGTCTGAATCTTTATTCTGAAAAGTTTTCATCTTTATTCATTTCAAATTAATGCATTGACATGCTGATTTTTTCCTGTTACTTTTTACTTTAAATTCATCATCAAACTTTAACAGAAAATTCCCTATTGCTGCAGATCACAGGTTGATAATGCATATACATTATTTTAGTTAGCAGTGTTTTATTTTATTTAGAAGGTAATAGTTTCAGACTCTATTTCAGTGACTGTTGATGTGCCCGTAGATAACCAATACTGAGATAGGAGGTGGTAAACCTGCTGGACGATGGAGAGGTGGGTGTTATACTTGATAGGATCATCACCTTACTGGTGACCCTGGTCATCTGTCATCCATCATCGCTGTCTCATCATGTGTATCTCCAGGGATTAGTCAACTTAACCTGTGTTATTCCACCCAACACATTTAAATCATATGCTTCTGGAAAACAGTTCAATGTTTTTATTTTCAAAGGAGCTAGTTTAGTTTTCATTTTTAATTCAGTTAATATAAAAAAAAAATCTGTCAGAAATACTGCATACCTGTAAATCACTGAACAGTCCATGCACTGTCAGGAATAAGTTTGTCATGGTAAAAAACTGACCATTCCCAATGGTATGTAACAAGCCAGTACAATCTGTACCGTCAGGGACGACTACCTTTATATAATAACACATAACTGACCACTACAGACGGTTTCGTCAGAAACACTAAGTCTAGGTACATAACTGACCAGTCCAATCAAAATTGTCAGAAACAGCCAAGTCCAGGTAAATAACTGACCAGTCCAATCAAAATTGTCAGAACCAGCCAAGTCCAGGTAAATGACTGACCAGTCCAAATTGCAGTGTCTGAGACACTATGCCCAGGTAGACAAACATCAATATTAGAATATGTTTAGAATGAGAACATCATTGGTCAATCCAACCAAGTCATTTAGGTGACATAAAGGTACTGAATAGCACAAACTAAATAAATAAGACTAAAGCGCACTAAATGTGTAAAACTGAAAAATTAATTTAAAATTAGACAAATCAGGCATATTGACAGATTTAGAGCAGAAATTTTGCAACAAATGCAGTCTACTAGAAGTGCTTCCCAGCTGTCCTAGTTGATCTGAAGGTTAAAGTGATCTTAATCAGTGTACATTACCTGATCCTTAGTTTATCTAATTTTGGTATGAAGGCTTAGATTAGTAACTGTATGTAGAGATTTATTTACATCAGTGTTAATTCTACCAAAGTCACCTTCACAAGCATCTCACCTCTAACTTCTATCAACAAATTCTTCACATGACAAACATCTTAAATCTTTACAGCATTTACACAAGAAAACCAGCCAACCAGGCTTCAAACTTACAAACCTTTGTATACTTTTTCTACAGATACCAAGAGGTCTAATTTACATGTAGTGTAAGCCAATGGTATATAATGAAAGACATCTACAACATATGTAGTCTCTGCTTCAGATTATAAAAGATATAGAATTTCACTGTAAAATGTTACGAACTTGATCACCAAACACAAGACATCAATAATATATCTATGACACCACTGGAAACTTTAAACCTTTAAATAGCAGATTGGTGTGCCAATTTTCCTCACTGCACAATTAACATTAGTGTACACTTCAGCAACACTTTTCACAGTTGGCCTCGTATATTGTCTAGTTTTTTTTTAAACTTATTTTACCAAATCCTAAAGACCAATGCTGTCAACAGTACAGCTTTGCTGATCACACCTGCTGAGTAGATCACTTTGAGCCTCTAATCTGGGACACTTTCACACATATAATACCTGTATACCTGGTGATAGGCTGAATAGCTTTGGATTTTTATTTGATGCTGAGTTGAAATGGAGCAGATATTACAAGTTTTCCTAGCTTGTTTCATGATGGATATTTATTACATTTATATTCTATACAGAGTTTAGGGTACTCATGGGGGCGTGGTACCCAGGTGTGTATTACAGACCAGCCACGTACAAAAAGGGTGTGTCCATTTGATACCAAAGGGGTGTGTCCATTTTTAGCTTCTACATTGATTTAGCTACCAAGGTATTGTTTACAGAATGAAAACTTCAGACATAATATCAATGGCTGGACCTACTTCTGTTTCAATCATATGACATTTCATATAGCATTCAACCAAAACCAAAACAAAAATGTTTGGGGATGAAAGTTTTACAAATACATGTTTTTGTTATGTGGTGTATTGTCCGTGCAGAATGAAGCTGTGAGTTATGTCAGAGAGGGTTATCTGTCAGCTGTCCAAGTTTGTTTGTAAAAGAAAACCAACCACAATGCA